CTACAGGTTGCTGCTGGCGGTGTGTCGATGATGCAGGCCCGTCAAACAGAAGGCACATGACTCACGTGTGTGGAGGCCCTTCCAGATCTGTTGACAGCAGCGCTGCCCACACAACAAGGAGCTCTGCTCCCTGTTTCTTACTTGTTCTTTTTCCTCAGAGTGAAACCGAGAAAAAACAAAAATCACATACAGTACATGTACAGGTGGGGTGGGAAGCTGACAGGAGACCTGAAATAACTTTTCATCTATAAGGTGTTTAATGCTCTGCTTGACATGCAGATTCAAGGTCTGTCATATGCAGCAGAACTCAATGTCAGCCCTCATGGCACCTGCTCCTGCCTTTGTAATGTTTGGATCAACAGACTCACAGCTGGCAGAGTTATTGCTCCGGTGCCTATTTACTCTGTTAAAGGAGACTAATGTCAGAACAGGGCTTTGTCTAAAATTACTCTCTATTTACTATATAGTGCACTACATAGACCGTGCTGAGTGTGAAGCTGTATACACTATCCACTGCCTTCAGAAACTGCCACATTGCAGTTGCCCACATTTCAGTCCACTGCATTTCATACATGTGATAATTTTCATTGTGTGGCTCATCACAGCTGTCAGTGATGATGCAAAATGCTGATGATTCATAAATGTCCAAAATCCTGATTTACAGTTCAATGAAGAGCAAAATACTGAGCGTTTCTTCTATAGACAGCAGTGACTCCAGGCACAGATGGCGGTCCACAGACAGCGGCCTGCAGACTAAGGTCTACAGACTAAGGTCACAGACAGCGGTCAGCCGACATGCTAGTGGCTCTGTGAGGCCAGATTTAAGCACTCAGGTGCCTTGAGCTGAATGGCAACATCAATTTTAAAACATATTTGGCATATATTTATTTTATTTAGCCTATTTTCAATCAGTATTCCCCCCAAGCCTTTTTTTCAGCAGCACTGTTGTGTTGTGAGTACAAATCTTCATTTGTAGATCTTAAGTTGTGCATTTGTCAGCCTCATCCTATGGATGAAAATCCTTTTACAGACATGAATTGTTTCATTTTCACAACTTTGTTTTTGAATTTGTAAATTTATTTTTGTGCACAAATATTCAGATACAAATATAATTTCTTTTCACTGCACACAACTTGATATTGATATTTGCAAATCTAAAAAAAAAAACAACAACATGTAAATAATAGTTGCATTGTTCTCCCTCCATACTGATGCCAAAAGCTGATTTTAGATGTGGAGATGTTGTAGACAGCTGTAGAATGATCTGCTATTAATCTCCAACAAAGTTGTGCCTGAAATTTGCAGGAGTATGAAAACCTGACAGCAACATCAACACAGACCCTGAAATGCAAGATCAACTACAGTGTCAAAAACTAGAGTTCAAACTAAAAGTTCTTATCTGATTGCTTTAAAACCCACAGAGAATCATTCCCACCTGCTGCCAATGCTTCAGCCCTCACTGCCCCTCTGAGAGAGCTGAGCTGTCTTTCCTGGGAGGATACAACAAACCTTAAAATGATCAAAGTAAAAATGTCAAGCATAGAAGTAGACACGTAATCCTCCAGAGACCCAATTACACTTGAACCCCAAGAGGTGGATGCAGAGAGTGAGGCGTCCGCTCTCTTCAGACAGCCAAGTGCCCTGCAGAGTGCCAGGCGAGGAAGGTTTGTGCTGCTTCTCGTCAGCCTGATACTCACTTCTGTTAGTTGCTGTTTATTAAGTGAAATCAATACACCAGGTGTGAGTAAGAGCTACCTCTGGGACCTTAACATTGTAACCTTCTATCATGCAGATCATCCCATTTTCAGACAGAATCATTGAGCAGCTCTATGTGACCAGGACCTCACAGGGAGCAGGTTCCTCTCACTGTAAAATTTTGCCTTGCAGTATAAAAGAAATGTATGTCACCATCATTACAGGGAAAGATTATAGGAGAGATAGGGATTATATTTTTGTATGTGGAGAAAAATAGTCTGAATTACTGGCTCTTAAGTGCTAAATGTGTGTATGAGTGGTCTGGTATCAAACACTCTTGTGATTTAGCTAGTTTTAGAGCTGTACTACTTCTTTTGTGTTTATTAAAGCACAGTGACTGACTTTCCAAAGCGTTGTCCTGGCAGAACACACTAGAAGCTGCCATGCTGTATGTGAACTCTGAAATTTAATTAGGTCAGAGTCAGCATCTAAATCCAAGAGTAACTTCTGTTTCCCAGCTAAACCTTGATACACAAGTCTGTTATTGTGTTCTCTTTTGACACAAATATTAAAAATGCACAGCCCTACTTATCATCCACCAACTACAACAACTGTTCTCGTTTCCTCACGTCTGGCCTATTGTAATGCACTGTGTGTACTTGAGTAAATAAGCTGCCACATCACAAATTCTCCTGCATAATAATGAACTAACATTATGGTCTGACATTTATATCTGAAATACACATGTCAAGCCATCTACAGCCACAAAATCTAAACTGAAATACAAAAACCACATGACGTCTCGCCATTTTCATTTGAGTTGCAGGTAGCGGTAGCAAAATAAAACCTTGTCGTGTTGGATGTGTGGAACTAAGGCTGATGCCCCCGTGGCAAAGGCATCACAACAGTCTTATGCACAAAAGTGCAGCAATGTGTAGGCTAACTGTAGTGATGTGGCTTTACTGGCAAATAATATAAAAAGGGTCTGCATGGTTGAGTGCAATGGTTTTAAGCAAGACCACCAGGAAAAGGAAATGCTGATAAAGCATCCATGCTGTGACAGAGCAGAGTTCAGGCAAGGGGTCACTGTGTGGAGGGTGGGGCTGACCATCTGCTCTTTAATTCAGTTTGGCTGAATTTAATCTTGTTAAAACTAGAAACCTTTGAAAGAGCACCATGGCATTAGCGTTGTGTGTTTGGTGAGAATAGGATGTGTTAAAGGGTGCTAATGTAATCAACAGATCAACGATACAACCCTCTTCCTTCAGCCTCTGTCAGTCATTTCCACTCAGTCATAAAGATTTCTGATTAGCAGACAGAATGTCTTCATACGATGTTTTCATCTTTTTTCCTCTAATTTTAACATTTTTGTGAAATGCTCTTCAGCCTCAAAAAATCCTCCAAATGTATTACACACTTCATTCAACGTGCCACTTAAAAAGATTAATGATATATTAGAGAAGCTGGACCACGAGATAATTGACTTGTTGATTATCAAAACAGCTATCAAATCATTTTCTGTGAATCAACTATAGCTGAAAGGATTTGTAAATTACCCATCTAATTGATTGTCAGAAAACCTATGTGCAACAATTTTAATAATCAATATGCTAAAAAACAGTATTGTTCAGTTTTCTTTAATCTCTGCTTGGGTTTTAAACTACTTGTCAGGCAAAATAAGTAATTTACAGACATTACCTTAGATTCTGACAAACTATAATTTATGAGATTTTATCAATTAAATGACTAATTAACAAATTAGACAAACAATTTGCAGATTCATGAATTCATGGAAAATAGTCATTAGTTTAAGCCAAACAATACTAATCCATTAAGTGATCCATTGTTTAGGCAATTAAAAAAAGCAATGAGCTCCAATTCCTCCAGTTTTGAGCAAACGTTTCTAAATGAAAAATAAACCAACAACAGTGTAATCCAAACTCTGTCACCAGGCTGACACCAAAAGCCTGTCCTCCCTCAGTTTACCCCTGAACAAAGTAAAGTAAGTGCCAGTCGAGTCCCACGGCTCATCAGTCCTTTTGTCAGGCTGCAGCCTCCACGCTGTGATCCACAAATAGACTAAGTGCCTCAGTGCTGCACATGAAGGGAAGGGACAGATGGACCTGTGGTTTCCCTCGCCACAATGTTTTCCAATGTCCCCCAGGGACACAACCTGAACTTTCAAGATGTGGAGGCGGTGAGAGCAATAGCAGCATCAGAGCACAGTTGAGAAAAAACCCAGAATCAAGAAACCTGTTTTGCAGCTGAACTGTACTCACGACGGCTTTATCCCCATATGGCCCAGTGCTTCAATAAAAACTCTGGGAGTCCAACAGCATTTCCACCTCTCCAGATCCTTTGTAACCACAGGAAACATGAAGAATACAAGTGCTGAAACCATGAGCTGATCAGCTGACTGACAGAAAGTTTATCAGCAATAACTCTGATCATCCACCAATAGTTTCAATAATTTATTAACCAACAAAATTAAGGGTCTTGCTAGCATGATGTTTAGTAGACAAGCATCACCATCTTATTAACATGTTAACATGTGCTCAGAACCCAAAGCACAGCTTTGATGGGAATGTCATTAGTGAACCAAAGCAAAGCAAAGAAATTTTGGCCTCATGTTGGCGCTTGACGTAAAGTTCAGTATTTCAATCTGGACCAAAGTGACGGACCAACTGTCTGACATCCTTAAAGCCACACCGTATGCATGACTATAAATTTCTCATTCCAGATATACTGTACCATCTGAGAAATTTTTTATATATAGGACATTAAATCCAGCCATCCATCATCATCTATGGAGCCAATCCCAGCTAACATTGGGTGAGAGGTGGGGTACACCCTGGACAGGTCGCCATTCTATCACAGGGCTGTAGACAAACAACCACACACACTCACATTCACTCCTAGGGGCAATTTAGAGTCACCAGTCAACCTAAGCTGCATGTCTTTGGACTGTGGGAGGAAGAGAACCCACGCAGGCACAGCGAGAACATGCAGGAGATTAAAAAAGGATTAAAACAAACATCTTAAGTTGCACTCTTATAACAATACACTAAATGCACCCAAATGCAAGGTGTATTGCCAGGAGGACTGATTTAGTTAAGGTTTACCAAACTAACTTTGCTAATTGCCTAATGAATCTGAACATGTAACACCAAAGTACTGTTGAGTAATACGTGTTTTTTGGCACTGCTGATTTGGAACACAGCCTTGTTCAGGTTTTAAATATGATCCTATTCTGCACAGTTTAGTCATGCAGATGGTGTGCATTAATGCGCCAAACTGATTTATGCAAAATGCAAAGGAAAATTGACCGGGAGAGAAAGAGAGAGAGAGAGAAAGAGAGAGAAGAGCCTCTCGAGAGCCTGGAAGAAGAAAAACAAAGCCACGGGGTCGATGTGTGCTGCACAGATTGAAAGTGTGAAAGTAGCACCAGCCACCAGCCAAATGCTTGTTTGGCTATTACCGTGCCAGTAATCAACTCTCATTTGGAGATTTTGCACTGAAAATATAGCTGGCTGGTAAATTGTCAACAGAGGAGGTGGTTTCCAGCCTTACACATGAGTTCATCCATCAGAAAGCGCTGGACCTCTAATCATTCGGTTCCTCTGCTCACCTGTCAGTCATCTGCCCTGTCCTCATCACTTATCCATGTGTTAACCCAATATGAACCATAACCCCAACACTGTCAGTCAACTGGCGCCAATGAAAAACTTCCATTATGTACAAATATTAAGCCAACAGTCTGTGGCAGGCTGCACTGTCTTTAAGGGAATCTGCAGTAAAATTTAGGCGTTTGAGTAATAATTGTACACAGGTACTACAGGTGTATTCTCTGTATTGATACATTTTTCATACAGCCCAACTGATATCAATATCAATATTGATATTTGAGAGCAGAGCTGAGAGGTAAACAACTGACTAGTCTGCTTGTTTTCCTAGAAGACATGTGACCAGCCACAGAAGTGATTAGTTTTTTCTTGTGTGCACTTGCACATTAACACTTTTTTGATATAATGTGCTTGATGTCCAGTACTGTTGAGCAGCTACACATGAGCCACTGTCATTAATCTCTGTCTTCCTAACACTGTCATGTGTTTGAGGCTGTTTGTGAGGAAATTACTTACTGACTTGTATTTGTTTATTCAAATGTGCATGTCTGAAATTGCTCCTTAGGGGAAACAAATAAAGTATTTTGAATGGAAGTGAACTGAATAGTTGTTCAAGAGAAAAATGATTAGAAATTATATCGATAATCTATTATTTAAGTCAATTTTCAAGAAGAAACAATCATTTCCTACTTTAATAAAATGAAGAAAATTAGAAATGTGAAAGTGTCCCATTCACATTTAAGAACTCTTGACTATGTTCAGTATGTAATTACATAGACAAAACAAGTAATGGATTTAACAAGAAGAAAATCTG